TCGTCCTTGTGGTGCGACTATCACGATGGCATAATCACACCACTTTGGCCAAGGGACACTTCAATTAGGCCTAGCATGCAAGCCTAACAATGAGACATGCCATTCCTAGCTAGAGGTTTTCTTGAGAAACGGGCTGCGGAAAGACAAACTAAAAATCTAAAAGAAACAATCTTCAGAATTAACAGGCTGTACTGGTGACTGTAATACTGTATCAAACAAGGTAAACACACCATGATGCATAATCACTTACCCATATATCATTGTAGTTTTGTAACCATCAACAAAAACATCAAAGCAACGAAAATTGCTGTTATGACAATAAAAAATAATTACAAAAGTAATACCACATGAAGGAGTCAAGTCGTGTTATTACGCTAAATATTGCAGTGTGTTGTCCTATATTGTCTATTCTTTGTATGGATTCTTTTAGGCCGAAGCTACGCCGTAAAGTATAAACATTTAGGTCTTGTTTTTAATATGTAAATTATCAACTTCACTAACTGTCAATATATATACATGGACAGCTCTAGCTCAACAACACAAGGCTTAGAAGCAAGGACTAGGAGGAAAATTGTTCAGAAATCCCAAGTTGTTCAACAGACAGTAGGCAACATGGGTCTTTCAAGAAAAGAATAATTAAATAACGGAACAGTCAGATTCCCTCAGTTGAAACCTATAAGGCGTGCCTGTAAGAAACCATACCAAAAGTTCTTTTTTTCATGCAAATTGCAGTTCTCTTCTAAAAACCCTGAAAGCACGCAATATAGAAGCATATTGTTTCTCTTGATCAATTCTGTTTCTATATCTGGTCAAATCATCACCACTTTGAGTTTGCTGGTAATAGTAAACAGTGAAATCAAATGGTGAAAGAAAAGCAAGAATATGATCCAGTTTCACAAGTTTACCTCTTGCCTATTCACCATCCTACTTTCCTGATACTGATTATTTACAACATTTGAAGACAAATGAAACTATGAAAGAAACAGCTACGCCAACATTTCAATTTTTTTCTTGGTCGAGAAAATTTGAGATATCTCAAGCAATTAGTACAAAGCTGACCAGGAAGATGAATACTCATTCTTTGTATTTAGCACCCAACTCATTCAACATAGTCATATTTCAACAAAATTGGGACAAATACTTATTCCTCAGCTCAAAGATATTACGAAATACAACACTTAAAAGTAACACTTAGAAAGTGTAGTATTTTGCAACCAAGAATGATTGAAATAAGCTAATCTCATTCCCGAAATCGTAAATCACAAGTCACACAACAAAGGCACCCAAAAAAGTAACAGACACTTCTCAAATTAAAGCATCACAGCATTAAATTTCTAAAACTAACACTGACGAACAAACAAAAGCAGAAAGTAGAGCACGAATGATGAAAGCAACATCTAAACCGATATAGACACAACCAATGACAAACTAACTAAAGATCAATGCTCCATAACTCGGATAAAAAACCTCCAACGTTACTTGCATAAATTAATTTTTACGGGCACTAAATGATCGTGGTAATTCAAGAGAGACAGATTGAGGGGGAGAGAGAGAGAGAGAGAAGAGGCGGAGGAGAGGGAAGGCAACCTCTTGTACACGTCGCCGAACGTGCCGCCCCAGAGGCGCTTGCGGAAGAGCCCCTCGGCGCACTGGTGCCCCTCCCAGAGCTCGAGGCCGCCGGTGACGATGCCCGGGACGAACACGACGGGGTGCTTCGCCCGCAGCCCCTCCTTCTGCAGCTTGACCCCGGGAGGGTCCGGGAGCGGCCCCGTGATCGCCTCCGTGACGTACTGCGGGAACGACGCCGGCATCGCGTTGTACAGGAAGAGCAGCAGCCACCACGCCGAGCACACGCACCCCACCAGCCAGCAGCAGCTGTCCACGCACGACCACCTGGCCCTCGTCCGCTTCGTCGCCTCCTTCGCCGCCGCCGCCGCCGCCTCCGGAGGAGGCGCCGCCGAGGAGGACGACGATCCCGGCTTCTTCTTCCCCTTCTCGTCGAGGTCGGAGCCGTTGCTGCTGTCCTCGTTCGGCTGCTCCGGCGGCGGCTGCGGCTGCTTCCGGCGCCGCAGCAGCGACATGGCGGCGGCGGAGGCGGCGGGAACCGGGGGGGAGGCTACCGGCGAGGGGGCGCGCGCATCCCGGGGGCGGTGGAAACCCTAGGCGGCGCGGCGGAGGCGGGGAGGCGAGAGAGGTGGCGGCTCCGCGGGGTTCGCGCTTGTGAGGTCGGGGAGGAGAGAGAGGCTAGCCTCCTCGAATGCCACCGGCGCACCGGGGGTCTCGACCGGGGCCCGTGAACCCGGTGCACGTGGGTCCCCTGGGTTACTGTCGTGTGGGCCCGGAGGTGGAAAGTGAGGGGGCGGTGCAGAAAGACTCGGTGCAGGGGACAGGGGGGACCTGGGATCGGATGGGGTGACTGGGGTCGTGGGGCCAGGTTGTCAGTCAGAGGCGGTGGGGGCAGCGTTGGTTGGCTTGGGGGAAATAATAATGGCGATTCCGTCAGCGAAAGAATCTGACCCGAAAAGTACAGTAGTTTTTTCTCCTAAGCACTGACGTTACATTATTAGCCTGAAAATTTTCGTGATTTTATTGACAGTTTCAGAGCATAAACACGATTTGTGAGCCAGTCGATTCCACATTTTAATGCTCATATCTTGGCTGTCCCTGTCATGCACTGTACACAAATCGTTTTCTAGGGAGCAAAATTTGAAGCCATGGTTGCGACGTGAAAAAGACCTTTCTTTTTTTTTTTAAGTTGTTGCCTGTTCCACACGGGAAAGGTGTTAAGTGTTAGCATGTCTGCATTTACAAAGGCGTCGGCAGTGGGCCGGCCTTGTAGCATTGATCCTAGTTCCAACATGATTAGGTTATTTTAGGGGAACACTGACACCACTGTCTGGAATAAGTTCTTTTTACAATTGAGCTGATGGAAGTTTTTTTTCGTTTCCATTTATCTGCCTGCAGATTCTTTTTTATGACGCAGTATTTGGTCACATTTCTGATAGTTTCCTGGATATTTCATCCTCGCTAAAAATGTGTGGTATGGGTAAGCAACCTTCTGGAAATGTGTGGTTTGGCGTGATCAGGTTGCTGTCTAAATGAATATATGTAAATAGTTTGTGTTAGACATGTTATCTATTATTCTATTTGCTTGAGGATTACTAATTGCTAAGTCATATTTTATTTTGCCTATAATGTTTAGCTTTTCTTCTAGTACTAGAAGTTTGGAATGGATGATCTCCCCGACATTTTGACTAGAATATACTAGTTACTCGAATATGGTTACATGAAAGAGTTTTTATGAAAAAAGAAAAGTCTTTCAGGGCATTATGTCTTCTTTCCAGAAAGGAAAAAAAATCAAACTAGAGCATTTTCTTCTAGTAGATTAATCGTATAGTTTCATTAATTAACTGGTAGATTAATCGTAGCATGTCGAGATCGAGAGAGAGAACGAGAGACTGAGAGAGCGCTGCCATCATGGCTAATCCAGACAGGAGAGAAATTCAGCCCAAAGACTAGCGATGTTTGTTTCGGCCTTTCGGCGGCTGTGCTCATGCGATGATGGGCCGAATCCTCCACAACTCCAAAGTTGCCTGCACACGGTACATGCCCAGCTAAAAACTACTACTCCAGAACGGACCAAACTCTCCTTTTCGTTGGATCAATCGATCGATGACCTTCGTTCCAATCAATAATTCAAACACGCGCAGTGTCGCAGTATCACTCTTTTAGTTAAGAAGTCTGCGTGCACGCCTAGCCGCAGACAAGATGAGCGAAAAAATAATTTCCAAATAAGACGAGAAAGGCAGCGAGCAATGAGCATAGTTGTTAGAGCTGCATTAGCCTTCAATCAGCGACCTAACCCCACCCGGAAAAGAACCCGTTAACAACTCACAGCGTGTAGCTTTGGAGCGCTATCATTAGCGATGATCGCTTGGAGCATCAGTTTGTCACCACTAGAGCAGCGGCAGCCGCTGCTCCTGATCAAGCGCAAGCTGGGGAGGGGAGACAGACCGAGCCCACCCTGCTGTTGGCACGAGCCGCCTCCCGGCCCGCGCGCATGTGCCCGCCGTCGATCATTCGCCTCCCACCGTGTGCGTGCGTGCGCGCGCGCGGCCAGGAAAAAGGGCCAGGATTACGGTGTCAGCCGCGTGTGGGCGAGACGAGGCGATGGGGCCGCGCGGCGGAGCCGCGCGCGCTTAGCTGTGGGCTGCGACCACGCGACGCGCGTTATTTCGGTCGGTTTTCGAGGGGGCCGATGGCCGGTAGCGTGCGTGACGGCTGGCTGCCGCGCTGCCGCGGCGACGGGTAGTGTGAGTCGGCGGCGACACGGTGCGTGCGCGGACGGCGGGCGCGCGGGCGCACGGGGCTGATGATGGGATGAGCATGGAGGACGACCACCCACGCGCGGGCGGCGGGCACACGGGATACGAGATAAAAGAAAAAAGGTCGTAAGATTGAGGGCTTGGCCGCTTGGGAGTTAGGGACGTTGCCGAAGGAATCCTGTTGGTCGAGACGTCAGAGTTGCGGTGGCCAGCCGCCCGGTAGGCCGTCTCCGGACTGGAGTAGTATTTCTGAAGTTTACGGGGCGGCTGATGCTTCTACTCCATATTAACTATTCCATCGGAACCGTGCGATTATTACGTGCGGTTTTTAAAAACCATGATAAACCGTGCGATTATTACGTGCTTAGCAGCAAAGATGTTAGAGATGTGTGCAGCAACGAAGATGCTATCTTCAAGTTTTGCCTTTGCTAGAATCATCCTCTTCATCGTTATCTCTATTTTCTTTCACGTTATTAGGCCAAACATGAAATGGATGGGGATGCAGTGACATTCTCATATCGGAGAGACGTGATCGTTAACACGTGAACCCTATCATCCACATAACCACATGTCTATGATCACATTAGAGGATCTACTTCTCCAAAAGGAGATAAATATTGTTACAGTGACTCAATCCATATAAACCAAAATCTAGTACCACCACCAATTTCTCTCCCTTCCTCTTTCCTTTTTCACTAACGTGCAAGAGACCTGCAAACACAAAAAGGTTTCTTACTGTCACAACCCGCACACAACTTCCTGTTTGACAGTCCACACGGGCGCGCACGTGAGCCCCACCACGCATCCGAGATGAGATGTGTCAGAGAACTCTGCATCGATGGATCGATCGACCGCTGTTTAATGGAGGCAGCAGTAACGTCTGTGAGCAGCCGCTGCGCCGCTCATAAATAAACCCCCCCCCCCCCCCCCCCCACTTGTGCTCCTCCGCCTCTTCCTGCCATTAAGCACCAGATCCTAATCCGCCATTAATGCCCTTAACTCCAAGCTCGATATCAGAGGAGGAAGAAGAGGCGTAGGAGTAGTACGGCTCCGCCGCCTCCCTCCCCTGCCATTATAAGCTCACGCGCGGCGCTCGCCCGGGCGGCTCTGCCACCTGTGACCTTGCTGTTGCTGTCACCGGAGAGGCGGAGGGGATGCTCACGTGCATCGCGTGCTCGAAGCAGCCCGGCGGCGGCGGCGGGGAGCCGCTGCACGAGCCGCCGGAGGACGAGGACGCCGTCGATGGCGGCGGCGGCGGCGGCGGGGCGACGCCCAGCACGCGGCTGGCCATCAAGGCGCTCACTGCGCAGGTGGGGTTCTCGGTACTTCACTCTCGAGAGTCGAGACTGTCACTGTGTGTGCTTGAAGCTCTTCTTTTCTTATCCTGTTGATTAATTCAATGAAAAAGAAAAGAAAAGAGAAGATGATGGTTTTGGTTCTGAAGGGTTCCTGCTTTTCTGTTCAGATTTTGCTTCGTTTTGATCGTGGTATATAATTTTTTTTTGGGATGTTCAAGCTCTTTGAATGTTTGAATCTTTGGTTCGGGTAGGTCGTAATCAACCAGATCGGGCTTGATTTTGACGGGAGGTTTTTGTTTTGGGGTTTCGTTTCAGATCAAGGACATTGCGTTGAAGGCGTCGGGCGCGTACCGGCACTGCAAGCCCTGCGCCGGCTCGTCGTCGGCGGCGGGGGCCTCGCGCCGGCACCACCCGTACCACCACCGCGGCGGCGGCGGCGGCTTCGGCGACCCCGACGCGGCCTCGGGCTCCGACCGGTTCCACTACGCGTACCGCCGCGCCACGAGCTCGGCGGCCTCGACGCCGCGCTTCCGCGGCGGCGGCGGCGGCGGCGCGCTGTCGAGCGGGGACGCTACGCCGTCCATGAGCGCCCGCTCCGACTTCCCCATCGGCGACGAGGAGGATGAGGAGGAAGACGACGACGACGAGATGGTGTCAACCGGCGGCGGCGGCGGCGGCAAGGAGGAGGACGCGAAGGAGTGGGTGGCGCAGGTGGAGCCCGGCGTGCTGATAACCTTCGTCTCGCTGCCACAGGGCGGCAACGACCTCAAACGCATCCGGTTCAGGTGTGTTCTTGAGCATGCTCGAGCTAAATTCTGCATTTCCAGTGCATAACTCGGTTCTTTGATCAGTGAAAGACTGAAAATTCTACTTATTTGCATTAGTCCTTAGCATATATGATTGAAAGTTTAGTTTGCGCTCGTATGAATGATTGAATTCTGGTCGTGCTAAATATAAATTAGATCAAAGTATATTGAATTGAGATAGTAACTTTGCGGTGTAAATGGGGGCGAAATGTCATGCTTAGGAGCTTTGTTCTGAACCTGCTTCTTTAGTCAAGAAGCAAACTGGACAAAAGCGAGTAGTTTTGACTTTTGATAGCCAGTTAAAATCAAACAAGCCCCTATGGATGAGGCAGTAATTTCTCCCAAGCCCCTATGGATGAGGTAGTAAATTTTCATTGATCATTGCCTCGGGGCACTGGCAATTTATGGAGAACAGCACAATAGATTGTTAAATCTTCATACTTCAACTAGCCATGTTTTAGTTTTTTTTTTCCGATTGCTCTGTCAACATTGCTATTCCTTCTTTACCTTTTGCAATAATTTTTCGTGGTCTAGTTTACTACTGGTCACACTTTGTGGCATTCTATTTGTATTATTTGTTTTATCTATTGAAAAGGAAAATTTCATTAAGAGGTAGCTTATACTGATTGCCGTAAGTCAATTTTAAACACTGGATGGAGGGGTGTGAGTTTTAAAATTCTTGTACACCCCAATTTCTTACTTAACTGGAATCCTATTTTTACTCGAGGGTGGATAAAAAGCACACCCGTACCATTGGATATGCTACCCTGTATATTAACTTCACTTTTTCCCTCACTCCTATGCAACCTCATAGCCGTTACGTATTCGCTAAATAGTAAATCCCTTATTATTTTAGATTTTACGGCTGGTTATGCTCATAATGGGAACAATCTGGTGTAGGGTTAATGGAGATTACATTAGAAAGTGATACCTTGATTGTCAACTCTATGACAATGGACCTCATTTAAGATTTAACCCCTGATGTGCTGCAGCCAGGTCGAAATCCTGATGTGTCAGCATGCATGTTATGTCCAGTTAGTAGACTCAGAATTTTAAGCCATACATTATTAAAGTTAGGGGATCATGTCAGTTGTTCACCCTGGAGGGTTTATAGGGCTAGAAGATCTAGTAAACAACAGGCTCTATGAAACTTTAAATTTACCAGTACTATGTGGGGGCAAGTCCAGCTCACACATTTGTACTTTATCTATATCATTCATTTGCTTTAGGGGCTGCTTCTGCTCCAGGAAGAGGTAGTATTAGCATGGGATAGAGACAGCAAAGGCCCACAAGCCACATCTCATCTAGGTAGTCAATAAAGAAGCTATATGGAAAGAGAGCAATGGCACAAAGAAGCGTAACTTCTTCTGCTCTCTCTTCTTTGGCCGTTTGTTATTGAGAAATGGTTGGAGGCTTCTGGTCTTATTAATATGTAATAGGGTCCCTCCACACCGGCTTATCAGGGGAACCATCCAACCTGGACCTCTGATTAGCAGCAGCTTTCCTAATGGATGGACTTTTGGTTCTTATGCTGCTGCACTTGTAATGAGATCTTAAAAACTACCACTGCAGACTTAATCTGGACACTATAAAAGAAAATTGTGCATGTGAAAATATGCCCATTATAAATTTGTAGTGTTCAGATTGAGTTTAGAATGGTTGTTTTAAGATTTGTCTATAAGCAGGGTATACTGTTAAAATAATATTCTTGGAGGGAGTTCCTCATGGCCAGCTACGTTGATCAGCCCCCACTGGTATTAGATATAGAATACTACTTTATTGATGGAACACAAGCTGGATCTTAAGATGAGTGCAGTGTTCTTGTTATTTACTTTATTATTAGTTCTAGATCTAAGGCAAGTAGGGACATTTTAAAATTTGTTAATGAGTGGATCCATGGTTGGGTTTGGTAACATTGGTTTGGCTGCTAATGTTGTCATAGACGTTTGGTCAGTTGATTAATGTGCTTTTAGACTACCAATTTACCTCTTGGGCATAGCCACTTGTGCAGTTGATTGCGGATTTCTGTTGCAACTATTAGTCTGAGTTGAATCTGTCATAGTCACCACAGTACCAAGTAAATTATACATGACCAATTAGAAATCTGTAGAGCAAGATGTAACTTAGGAAACTGTAAGGCAGGCTTAAATCATGATTATGAGCCAGAAAACTGAAGCGTGGAATGTCATCGATTTTGGACTGTACTATTGAAAATGAATTCATCTGATTCACCTAATTGATTTTTAAATATCATCTTCCTTTTTCTATTCAGGCCATTCAAAGCTCGTTCCTTGTAAATTATTCTCTGCATAAGTTCTTGGTGAAACTAATGCAAGTGGTCATGGTAATCATTGTTTCGTTGATGTATGTTGTAGGCTGATTGTGTATAAATTTCTCTGATTTGATTTTCGTACAATTTTAACCTTCCAGCTACTTGTTGACTGATCATGTACTTTAGTAGTTTTAAGTTATGCCATGCTGTTTATCTCTTAACTCATTGTTTGATTATGCGCACAGAATGTCATCAGTCCTCACAATATACATCATCATTTATTTACTTCGTATAATAGCGTGGCTTGCAGGAAACTAGTCTAAATGAGATAATGTATAACTAATTAGTATGTGAATCCAAATGTAAGCAAGGCAATCTATATTTGCGTATGAATGCTTTCTTATCATATCTGAAAAAAAAATCATATATAAATTGTTTGTAGCTGTAACATTACCTTGCTGATTCTGTTTGGTGAATAAAATTGTTTTATTATAGCCGTGAGATGTTCAACAAGTGGCAAGCACAAAGATGGTGGGCTGAAAATTATGACAAAGTTATGGAGCTTTACAATGTACAGAGATTTAACCATCAAGCTGTTCCTCTTCCTGCTACTCCAAAATCTGAAGACGAGGTGACGACACTAGCACTCCCCCAAGTTACCATTCTAGTTATTGCAGTTAGTAATGTGACTTTGACATGATTCCATGTCTATTTTTTCTTTTCCTACAGAGCTCAAAGGAGGACAGCCCGGTGACACCACCACTGGGGAAGGAACGGTTACCTCGTTCGTTCCATAGACCATTGTCAGGTGGTGGTGCAGTGGGTTCATCTTCATCAGATTCTCTTGAGCATCATTCAAACCACTACTGTAATGGTGGCCACCACCACCATGGACACCAGTGCTATGATTCAGTGGGGCTGGTCTCAACACCGAAGCTGTCAAGTATAAGTGGAGCCAAGACAGAAACCTCGTCAATGGACGCATCAATGAGGACGAGCTCATCTCCTGAAGAGGTCGACAGATCTGGTGAGCTCTCGGTGTCCATCAGCAATGCAAGTGACCAAGAGCGGGAGTGGGTCGAGGAAGACGAGCCTGGTGTATATATTACCATCCGGGCTTTGCCTGGTGGTATCAGAGAACTCCGGCGTGTTCGATTCAGGTTTGTCTCCCATCCTTCTTGTAACGTCTTTCTTTGTAAATAGGATTGTCTTGTTGGTAATCCGTAAATTGACAAAGTAGAAAAGGTCAGTAATCTGATTTCAAGAACAGCCTAATGCTAATTGCTTGAATCTCCATGATCGAAGAATTTGGAAGCAACTGAATTGCTAGCTACTAGCAGATGATCATGGAAAGAGACTTAATTATTCTCTCTTGCTTGCAGCCGAGAGAGGTTCAGCGAGATGCATGCCAGGCTATGGTGGGAAGAAAACCGAGCGAGGATACATGAACAGTATCTCTGAGATGAAAAAAAGAACTTGTCCTCGCGACACACACAAGTGGTTCTTCAACGAACAATGAATCCAGAGTTGTACATTTGGCACTAACAGTACGCCCTTTGCGGGCAGCAGCAGCCGTCTCAGTTGATACTGATTGTGCATGCATGTGAGCTTAATTTTAAAGCTTTGTTACTACTAACCTTAGGCTCTTGTTGTGGCAAATTCACATGTTCTTTTTCATGGTTTTGGCTTTTGCTTTGGACAGGAAGCTTTTGTTGAGGAACTCAAGACTATCGTAGAGTGATTAGCCTAGAAAAATAATAATTAGAAATTCCATATTCCCTGAACCTGTAGTTTGCAAAACCAAAAGTGTTTCTTCCAAGTTCCATACACCAGTACTTGGTATTTTTTTCTCTTCATCAGTAAATTGAAATTGGTTTTTGTCCCATTTCACGAGCTTATGTGAAATATGGAATATTGAAATGTCATGCCCACCAAACGCAAGTTTTTAGATGGTAGCTAGACAATGGTATTACAATAGTACAAAATATCATATCGGCCATATGCAAATTTTCTCTTTAATAAACTGACCAATTGCACAAGCTCAGTGTGGCTTGGCCAACAGATAAAGAAAGCAAGTTGGCACTCCAGTGGCTCGCAACCACTTCGTGATGTATTGATGGCTACGCGAGTGAACAAAAAGTAGTGAGAAAAAAAAGGCAAAGCAGCAGATAGCAATACGTCCATGTCACGCACATCTGGAGCTGGAGTCGGAGACCCTATTATCGGCTTCTTCCTGGTGCTAATCATGGTGACTGATCACTGATGGAAGCAAGCACAATGTTTCCTGAAAAAAATTTTCTGTGGTCTGAAACCCAGTGATTGTAGTATTGTCAGCTCAGAACTAAACTCATCTTGCTTTGATCCAGAAAAGATATGAAAAGGAAAGGGCTTGTGCATGAACAAGCCAAGCTTAGCTGGTGCTAATAAGACCTCTACCTTACGCTAATCAGTTGTCAGAATCAAGCATAGGTAAGCCAAATGCCTATACCATAATTGCACGGACAGTGGACAAAGGGACATTGGAATCCATTGAACGGCTCATAGTGGTTGTAGTAGTAGTACTAATTAAGTACTGACATTTCATGTCCTAATCTAGGTCAGCACTCAGCAGGCGAATCACTTTGGGTAGGCTAATCCTCACTCAGCAAGGATGGTTAAAGTAGTAGTGGGATTATCCTCTATCAAAGCCGTTTTCATTAGCCAACAACCACACATTTTCGTCAAGCAAAAGATTTTGGTTCGGTACCATATACAAAAGCACCATTTGGAGGATTACAGAGTTGGGGCACTGTGGTAATCAACTAATCAAAACATACAGAAACATAAGGCATATCCTACTATTCCTGATAGCAGATGAAGATAAGGCAGCGGTACCAATCTAAGTCCAAGAGTATCCTCTGATATGTAGTACGGAGTGGAGTAGTAGACTTGAGTAGAAGTGGAGGAACCAAGAGAGGAACTCATCCAAATCAAAGCAACAATTAAGAAACAGGGTAATAGGAAAGAAGGCTACCTAATTTTCTGCCTACCCATCATCAAGATAATGATAGCATAAACAATGGATAAACACACGCCTCACTATCATGGGCAAAAGTTTATAATTATTAAAATGGGAGATTTGCTTGTACTAATTCCTAATCAACATTAAACTAGGACGGGCAAGAATGCATTTAGTTGGAACAGCATCAACTGCGAGTATTTATTAATTCGAAGAAAAGACTTCCTCAGCCACACTAACTTTAGCATACTTATCAAATCAGAAAAGGCATAAAACATCAAATGGGAGAACATTGAAAAAGGATGAGCAGATCTTCCATGTTTCCAGGAGCAGCAATGCACTAGGGCGTATGAGAACACCTCTACCAATCCAATCCATGCATACCTTGTGCCTATTGTTCATTGCTATGTGTGGAATAGAGATCACTTGCAACTTACTGCACAAAAGCATCTGTGTAAGTTAGTACTGTATCCTAGTCTGTATGTGTGCCACTCAACGTATTCAGATTCCTGGTGTGGCTTCAGAATAGGGACAGAGAAAAGAGAATGAAATGAGCTTTTGTCCATCCAAGAGTGGTATGGACTATGGAACAGGTGCCTGCATGACAAGTTGGATTTGCAGAGCAGCGAATAGGCAACAATAGCCCATGCCACTATACCAGAATCAGCTCCAGCTTTGGATGGCAACATTAAACATGTTTACTCTACCATTCAGTAACAAAGCAGCGTCTTTGCAAATCATTTGATTGAATAATTCAATTTGTCATCCTAAAGAAACTCGCTAATGCAATACTGTTATTCAACAGAGTTAAGGATTTAACGTGCAACACTGTTAGTGGCCACATCAGTGCCATCACAATTTCCAAATCACCTCGCTTGTTTAGGTTGTAGCTATAATACAATGAGCATGATTCTTAATTTCTTATAGTAAAACATTGCAGCATGGAGAACCAGCCGTTTATATAGATGGACAGGAATTTTTCAGTATACATGAATTACTCCGTTGTGAAGATTCAGAAGCTAAAAGGCAAAACCTATTGATAGCACAGAAAACATTCTGAAAGAGTGGATTGCATTGATTTGCTTAGCTTAATTAGAGGAGCAAACAAAGACTATCTACAAACAACTCTTTGCAACACCTAAAAGATGAAACAAGCATTGGAAAGGAATGAAAGTAACAAAGCAAGGTCACCTATTTGCATCATCTATTCGTCTCGTCAGGGGAGGCTGCTCTCATGCCCCTTGGCGGAGAGCCGCTTGAGGAACTCGTACGTGGTGATCATGGTGGTGGCAGACAGCGACATTGACGCCCACCTCGGGCCGAGCCCCCTGTAACACGCTCCCCATCCACCCTCCTTGATCAGCCTCCTCACCGTCCTCCCCACCGTAATCGGCTCGCCGCCTTCCCCATCCATGACCTGCATCCTGGTCTTGATGGTGTCCAATGGCATGGTCACAAGGGCGGAAGCGCCACCGGCCATCGCCGCGCTCACTCCCTGCACCACCATGACAGTCTTGTAACCCGGCTGCAGGGAGGAATCCCCTTCCCCGGCATCGATTTCTTGGACACCAACACCGTACTCGCACAGGTAGCAACCAATTCCGCTCCAAATCGTCTTCTGCGACAGCGAGTAGGTCGCCCACCACACGGCATTGGAGGGTGCATAGGTTAGGATGGACATGCCGAAGCCGCGGTACAGGCCGCGGAGGCCGTCGGCGGCCACGATCTTGCGGAAGGCGTCGAGGCCGCCGCGGTAGCGGGAGGCCGGGCACGGGTTCCCCTGCACCATGAGGCGCTGGCTGATGACGTCGACGGGCGTCCACACCACCTGCGCCGCCACGGCGGCGGCGAGCCCCGCCGCGGCGCCCGCGGCCGCGGAAGCCACGGGCTCTGGCGCGCCGAGGGCGAGCGCTGTCGGGCCCACGGCCGAGCGCGTGGCCTCGAGCGCGCCCATGTAGAGCGCGCGCGCCGGGACGGTGCCCGCGAGGGAGGTGGCGAAGCCGCGGTAGAAGGCGAGGGGCCCCTCGCTCCGCAGGATGGCGGTGGCCGCGGCGGCGGCGGAGGGCGGGAGCGACGACGCCGCGGCGTGCGCGGGCGAGGGGGCGACCTGGAGGCGCGTCTTGAGGACGACGGCGGGGTAGAGCGCGGTGGAGACGGCGGAGAAGAGGCCGGCGCCGAGGACGAAGAACCTCCACTTGTCGAGCCGGTCCCAGTCGATCTCCGCCGGGAGCCGCAGCCGCAGCTCCGCCTGGGGCTGGGGTTGCGGGGAGCCATCCACCTTCTCCGCCGCCGCTTCCTTCGGCGGCGGAGGCGCCTCCCTTCGATCTATGGCCTCTCCTCCATGCCCGGCTCACCACTCAAGTCAAACCTCGGCTTCCCTTCCCCCCGCACGCGTCGTATCGTATCACGCCGCCACAAGGTAGACGCACGCGCCACCTCGCAGCGAGTAGTAGTACATGCTCGAGCAAACGGCGGCGGCGGCGGCGGTGGCGGCGGCTAGGGTTTTTGGGGTGGGGGCGAGGAAGAGTGGGAGTGGGATAAAAGCAGAAGCGAGGAGGAGGAGAGGAGGAAGCAAAGCGGTGGCGAAGGGAAGGGAAGGGAAGGGAAGGGTGTGGAACGGGGATGCGACGTGGCGGGCGGTGATTGGGCGGGGAGCTTCTATGCACCACCCTCGAGATTCGTGCTTGGGCGCACTGCACGACTCTCAGCGTGGGCGTGCTGCGTCATGCGTGTCCTGCTTGGCCATTCCGGTGCTGCCGAGTTTACGAGTTTTAGTAGCAACAAAATTCAGGATGGACACGGTTGGAGTACAGATCACATGTGAGACAGCAGTATGAAAGACGTTTCTGGGCACGACACATTCCCCGCCTAAAAAACGACACATTATTTTGCCTTTCAAGCTAACCTTTGCTGTACAGCTAGGTTGTGTTTAGTTTTTGAAAAAAGTTAAAATTTTAGAAAAAAAAGTTGAAAGTTTATGTGTAGGAAAGTTTTAGATGCGATGTGATGGGATGGAAAGTTGAAAGTTGAGGATAGTTGGGGGTGAACTAAACACGGCTCTAGTTGGCATTGTGAAGTACTCCCTCCGTTTCTTTTTTTTTTTGTCAAACTTATTTAATCAAATTTATAAAAAAAATAGTAATATCTGTCATACTAAATTAGTACATTAAATTTAATATTAACTATATTTTATTAATATATTGTTTTGTATTAAAAATATTAATATATTTTTTCTACAAACTTAGTTAAATTCAAAGAAGTTTGGCTAAGAAAAAATTAAATATCTTATAATATAAAATAGATGGAGTAGTAGTAGTAAAGCAATCTAGCTTCAACGTGTTGTCATTGTTTTTTCTCCACGCCCCCTAAATGGCTACACCGTTAACCGCTAGTTTAGGTGAGAACGTCCCTTTACAAGTTCCATCACCCATCATGATTTACCGTGAACTTTTCTCATCCATCACTTCTCGCAATCGGCGTTGTAGTACTGCATCTAACCATGTCCTTACTAGATTTGGCCTATGAGCTCCTACTTGTCTTTGATTTTTCATGTCTTTGCGTTCGATTTAATTTGTTCTTCTTTTAACTTGGCTTGCCTTCGGTTTCTTCTTTCATTGCATCTGTGACACATATCATGATTAAATATGTGTTCTACACAACATTTCTCATTTTGTGATGGTATGCTCAGCCATGCTCGATCTCTCCACCTAATCTCACTAAATTAAAGCATTCGTCTCCTCTGCAAGGCATGCTGATTCCCTCTAAGACCACACGAGACATGACACCCCCTTGCTCTTTGTGTGTGTTGTCCTCTACCAACAAGGCTCAACTCTGAATTAAGATCCCTAGTATTGTATGTATAGTACTGGAGGCTGACATGTGCCCAGAAGGGCTGTGGGCCCTGCATCCCTCAACTCTAAGGGGACGCTACATGCATGGCTATAGTCTATGATGTAGTGTTACAAATACTCTTAGGGTGTATTTAGTTTCTAAAATTGGGGAGAAATTTGAGAAAAATTGGTAGTTTGGAAAAAAAATTAGGAGTTTATGTGTGTAGGAAAGTTTTAAATGTGATGTGATGTGATGGAAAGTTGAGAGTTGGAGGGGAATTTGGTGTGAACTAAACAGGCCTTATGGAAAGAAATGAAGAATAACACATATGAATGACTACAAGTGGGGAGTCAATAAAGAATACACATCATGATCAACGATGGATATCATCATGCCAGTATGCCGCCAAAAGCTACTAGTTATTGGAGGAATGGAGGGTGTTGTGGAATTCATGTAGGAGCGAACCTACTCGTCTAAAGGTTCCTTGGCCATTCAGAAAGCTATTAGCTAAAGGTTCCTTGGCCATGCAAGCCTATTGTAATTTGCAATGTGTTTAGTGTTAGCATGGCCATATTACCTTCAGTTTCATAATTCTTAACGTTTTAAATAATAACACAGTCTCTAAAATAAATATCTTTAACTATTTTTTATTATATTATGTACAATAAATAAATATAATTTTAATTTTATTGTAGTAGTTTATAAGACAAATATGTTATTCTAGTGCCTTTAAATTAAATATATTTTTGAAGTTATTGATACTCAAAGTTAGAAAATTTTGATCTTAATCTTATCCAAAACATCAAAAAAAAATATGAAACTGGAGTGAGTATATAGCACAAGTGACTCTGAGGCATTGCTATTTTCTACGGCAGGGATATGAGATATTCGATAAATTAATTGTAAAATTAATTGTAGGGCTGAGCTCTCCCACGCGTCCTATTGGTTTAACATATTTCGCTAACCCTATTCTCAAACGGAAACGCTAAAATAGTGGCGACAGTTTTTTCCTTAAAAATACGTCGGTTTGTGGTGCATTGAATTGACATCAAGATTGGTGCTAAAACAGCAGTATGCTAATCTAGAAAAATAATCGAGTCATCCACTAATTACTAGCAATAAAAAACAAACTTTTATGACATTTTACATTAGAAGAAAAATCCATGTAAAATCCAGTAATTAAAAAAATTACTGTATAAGATGCATTTTTGCTTATTTCAGAAATTCAGAGGGCTAACAAATATATTGCTTATTTCCTCGTTATTAAGCATTAGTAGTGCCCAGTGGAACTAATATGGTCTTAGATCGATGGTTCATCATATGACTTGGCTTCGGAGCAAGGACGTACACCTTCACATTTCTAAGGGCACACGTCATGATGATGGATAGCAAATCACATACTCCGTACAAATAATTCATTATCTCTCTTTCGCCAAAAAACAAAAATCATGATCTCAGCACGACACAAACACATTCATATATATGTACAATATGTTTCCAAATTCCAAACCAATCATGAATTTTTATAGGAGCTTCACCATTCTTCAAACGAAATTCATTGCACTTTGATCGATCAATACAAGCAACTGTACACAGAAACGGGAAACTATTTTAATCCCTCGAGGGGATATCCCCTCGTTCTTTATATGTTACTTAAATGGTTATGAAATATTTGAAAAAAAATTGAGAATGTGTATTAACATGTAATATAACACTCCACAAACATGCAAGTAAAAATTTAACTTCTACATCTTGTAACGAAGAAAACAAATTAAACCGGAGCTACTTAACGTATATTCAGAGTCAAATTTATTTTTTTTTTCGTTGCGAGATGTAGAAGAATTTTTACTTGAATATTTATAGAGTGATATATCACATGTTAATACATCTTCTCAATTTTTTTAAATTTTTTTCATAACCATTTAAGTGACATGTAAAAAACGAAGGGATATCCCCCGAGCGATCAAAATCCTCTTCACACAGAAACCTCTGTCCTACAATTTTGCCAATCAAACCTCTATCTCCAACGCAGCGAACCCATGCACGCCGGCGCCGCCACCCTTGTGCGCGTCGTCATCGCCGTCGTCGTCACCGTCTCCGGCGCCGGCTTTCTGCAGTGGCGCGTACGCCGCCTCCTCTGCGGCGGGGTACCTGTTGCTCACGTACAGGTAGAGTGCGACGACGAACACCGTCATGAACGAGAGGTACCACCCGAACTGCAGGTTGGCGAGCGCTTTGGCGCGGTGGAGGCTCTCCTTGCTGCGGCAGCGCACGGTGTCGCGGCCGTCCTCGCGCACCAGCTCGCAGCCCCTGGGCACGAGGCTGGGCACCCACACCATGGCGCCTATGACGGCGAGCCACAGCCCGTGGAAGGCGACGCACGCCGACCTGGCGAGGCCGACGGCGAAGCTCCGCGGGTAGCCGACGCCGAGCAGCGACGTGGCGAGGCACGCGGCGACGACCACCTGCAGGAGCCAGTGGAACTGGCCCTCGACGCCGGCGTGGTCGGTGGAGTGGAAGTGGAAGACGAGGAGCTCCTGCGCGAACACCGCCGCCACGAGGAGGAGGCCGAGCGTGCCGCGGGCCGGGGCGCGGGCGCGGTCGAGGTGGAGCGCGGCGGCCGCGTAGACGGCGAGGGAGAGGCAGATGATGGCGTGCTCGTGGTTGTGGAGGCGGTCGGAAGGGATGGACCCGTCGGCGGCGAAGGGGAGGAGCGTCGAGTGGCCGACGAACATCTCCATGGCGAACTCCACGCCGCTGCCGGCGATGATGAGGGCGAGCTCCAGGTAGCGCGCGCCCGGCACGGGGAACCACGCCGGCGCGACGTAGGTGTCCGGGCGCTGGGAGAAGAGCTTGACGTGGTTGAACAGGTGCCACACGCCGACGGCGACGAAGCCGGCGCCGGGAAGGATGTGGCCGATGCTGCTGCGCGGCGTGCCGCCGCCGCCGCCGCCCATGGCCGGCCGGCAGGTGGTGGCGGGTTTGCTTGGATGATCCTACGTTTCTTGGGGTGCTCGCGACATTGATGAACTACTGAAGAAGGTAGAAGTATAAAAGGTGGCAATGGGACGTTGGTTGTGTTGATGGCGCGAGGGCACGTTGAGTAAACACGCAGATGATGTTTTGTTTTTTTTTTTTAAAGAAAAGAGGTGCAGAGGAGTTGCTTGTACGATAGTGCACGATATATATTTTTCCGGAGCCATTAAACGGTATATTTGTAAAAAAAGTAATTTGTAAATAAAACTTTTATATACGTGTACTTAGCAATAAAAAAGCAAAGACTAAAAAATAAACTTCGATGAAAAAAACCTTAAATTAGCTCCAAATTTAAGGTTGAAAATTTAAATTTTAGCTGATAAGTATAAGAATAAGCGAAAAGATGAGACCCTTTGCGTGAGATTAATCCTAACTTACAACTATTATTTCATTTCCTTTTCCAGTTTATAAACTTTTAAAATTCGATTTGCTTCAAGATTTGTGATCGGACAAATTAATTCTAGCATCAGGGTTTTATAACACAAGTGTAGCATTAGGGGTTTTACTAACACAAGAGGTGCAGTGGAATTGCTTGTACGACAGTGCACGATATATAGATTTTGTGTGAGATTAATCCTAACTTACAACTATTATTTCATTTTCTTTTTCACTATATAAATTTTCAGCATTCGATTTGCTTTAAGATTTGTGCTCGAATGAATTTTAGCATTAGGGATTTTATAACACAAGTATCATTGAGTATACTGGTTACTAGTAGGCACTAGCATAGTCATCAGTGCATCCCTCGCCAACTGACAATATTGCTTCGTGTTCACATCAAGCTACGGCGGTTGCTTGATCAACAACCTCTTCCATCTCTCTGCCACACTGTTCAGTGCGTAGGAAGAGTTTTTCATTTTTCTCCGTTGTCACTTTGTTTTTCTATGTCCAAAAATTGATAAGTTGACACAGACCGTGTTTAGTTGATGTGGCAATAAAAATTTGACGTACACAAACACACATTTAAAATATTAAACATATACTAATAATAAAATAAATTACAGATTCTGTATGTAAACTGCGAAACGAATCTATTAAGCCAAATTAATCTGTCATTAGTAAATATTTACTGTAGCATGACATTGTTAAATCATGTTGTAATTAGGCTCAAAAGATTCGTCTCACAATTTATATGCAAACTGTGCAATTGATTTTTTTCGTCCACATTTAATGCTCCATGTATGTGTCCAAACATATTTGATGTGATGAAAAAATTAGAAGTTTGAAGGGAACTAAACACAGCCATAGATAAATGTGACATACTCCATAACTCAATAAAACAGACAAGTCCAAATAATACAAATTAGAAAAAAAACGTACAAACACGCATGGCTATGAATAGTTCACATACTAGTGAGAGTGTTTTTTAACATGTATACGTCGAATTTAAATCTATATATATTTGTGAAGTGATATAATTGATTTACTTTGCTGAATTTTTATAAAGAAATTCTATTTAATTAGGTGATATGTAACGAACAAGGGACAATTTTTCAAGAGAAAAAAAAAAAGAGTAAAGTCCATCACCGGTCCCTAAACTTGTACCGCTGTGTCATCCCGGTCCCTAAACTCACAAATCGACCGTTCAGGTCCTCAAACTTGTTCAACTGTGTCATCCCGGTCCCTAAACTTGCAGATCACTCGTTTAGGTCCTCCAACTTGTATGTTTATAGATTTTGAAATTTTAATTTTAAAATTACATTTTGGGACAAAAAATGACTTAAAATAAAAAAAATCAACTATAAAGTTGTAGATCGCGTCAAGGCTATAAGTTTGATATAAAGTTTGTTTTTATTAGAGTTCACATGAAAAAGTTATGAATTATTTTTAAATATAAAGTCTTTAGACCGTCCTATTTGACCCAGATGATATTCAAATCTAAGTTTAGGTACCGAGGTGACACAACTGAACAAGTTGGAGAATCTAAACGAGTGATATGCAATTTGAGGGACCGGGATGACACAGTTGAACAAGTTTGAGGACCTGAACGGTCGATTTACGAGTTTAGGGACCGCGATGATACAGCGGTACAAGTTTAGAGACCGGTGATGGTCTTTACTAAAAAAAAAAACATCTCCACTGTGTAGTCAATGCACTACGGCAACTGCAACTTGCTAGGGGCGAGATGACCGTTTGCTGATGCGTGCTTACTGCTGATAGCCGCTGTCGCACTGTTCATCGCATCCTTTTGAGCTAAGCAGGATCATACGCTTGCTTGCCTTCTTCCTCTATTGTTCGATCTGGGATATTTTTATTTTCCAACGTTGCATGCGTGCTGAATTTGTTTGTGCATGTAGTCTGTACTCAGTACTCAACATTCATTCGATCTCTTGATAATACATTAATATACTACTCCCATGTCTTACGTTATAAACGTTTTGGTCTCTTGATTTATAGTCTAACTCATTAACATCTGTATGATTATGCATATATTTATATATGAAACACATATATACATGGATTCATACATGAATATGTTTAAAATCCGAAACATCTTATAATACGAAACAAAATAAGTATTCCCTCTATTTTTTAATTTTTTAATGTATAACGTAATTGAGTCTTGACGTCACATATAACCATTCATATTAATTAAAATATAAATATCTATTTTTACTTGTTTTATCATTGGAAAACTATAATCTCAACTTATATTTATATTAAATTTTTAGTTAAGGTGAATGGTTAACCGTTATGCGAAAATCAATGATATCATAAATAAAAAAACATAGGTGGTGGCAATTAATTACACACCACTTGTTCACGACCTACTTTGGCACGTGGTTGCCTATATTAGAGCATATATAATAATAGACTATAAGTCGGCTACAAGCTTACGTGGAGGAGATAAGAGAGGAGAGAGAAGACAAGCGGGTTACAGATTTGTAGCCACCTGCAGCACGAACTCCAAAACATTGTGTGTGTATGACATGCGGGACCAATTATTAGTGATGTAATATATATTTATAGTTAACTATTGTATAAATTGACTATTAGATTGACTATAGATGATTTGATACCAGTAGTTGGCTATACTATTAAACTTGCTCTTAGTAGCTAGATCCTAGCTTCCATGTTCACTGCCAGCTACTCCACTCCAAACCTTCTAGTTAATTTGCTAGTCTGCTTTAGATGGCAAGAAATGGCAGTTTGACATCTCTATTGGGTGCAAATGCAAATAGTTACATAAGAACTCTAAAAATCATATACTATGATGCTATCAGTTATAAAAATAAAAACATAAATTCAGCCTAGCCATTCAGATGGGGAATAAAAAGGCAGAGTGAAACATCTATTTCTTTTCGAGTTGCTTTTTCAGCAGAATATTTTTTTGACTGAAATTATTGCCAGGACTTTGCCCAGCAATTTAAATTTTATAAAATAAAAATATGTACAAATTTTTCAGCAGAATATTTTTGTCTATATGTGTCAAAGCCAATCTATCTATATATATAATGTTTGGTTTAGACTTTAGAGTACCCTAATCTTAATATAATCACCAAAATCGCTGTGAAATATAATGTGGTTCCTATGCCATTTTGAAATGTTTTACCCATAGCGGCACATTTGCTGGGCCTTTGGGCCGGACTGATCAGGCTGACCTGACTTGGACACAAACTATTCCCCGCCCTTGTCTTCTGCTCGTTTCAGTGGGCTTCCTTGATCCATCTCTTTAACTCCTTTATACTAGCTTATACTGATTGGACTATGAGGGAGTATTTGGATCCACGGACTAACTTTAGTACTTATCACATTGGATATTTGAATACTAATTTAAAGTATTAAATATAGACCACTTACAAAACTACTTGCATAAATGAGTGCTAATTCGTTTGACAAATTTTCTAAGCCTAATTAATACATAATTAGCACATATTTATTGTAAGATCACATGAGCTAATCATGGATTGATTAGACTTAATAGATTAGTCTCACGAATTAGTCTAGAGTTATGGAATGAGTTTTGTTATTAATATGTGTTTAATACTTCTAATTAGTGCCGTAACATCCGATGTAGTTATCCAAACAGGCACCGAGACTCCGGCACAAAGTCAATCACCCCTAAAATGGCATTTAATTATACAAAAGTAACAACATGTGTATATGTGGCTGTATATGTATCATTGTAATTCATTTTGTCCCCTCGAATTACTTCGCCAGATCGATCAACCCTCTATTTCAGGACTTCTATTATAGCAGGGATCAGGCGCCGCATCTTCTATTCAGCCACGACACAGCTTCGAGCTTTCAACAATCATGTTTTCACTAAAGATCAATACTTCTCGGGTTTTCCAGCATGTTACTGAGGGGAAATCGATCGAGATGTCCTAGACGAAATATGTGATTGGACAAGTAGTGTTTGAGCTTGCATTAGAAAAACGAGTGGTACACGAACGATAAAGAAGAAACTTGATATAGCTACGGTACCCGGTAAGAGTATTCTTATAGATGTCGGGATCACTCCAACTACTTCTATAAGCTGGCGTTAGTGACCCCTGAAGTCATCTAAATATATTGATCCTGCAACATTTTTACTGATACAGTGACGCTTGACGGTAAGAGCCCATCATTAACAGATTTTAACTTCACCTCACCTCCAAAATAGGCGGAGGAAAGAATATTTCCTCGTCTATCCCTATTTTATTCGTGAACCTGGGCCAGAACAATTTTAATCTCTCCTTGAATGAACTGTACAAATATCAGACACTGCCACTGCGATTCGTTTGCAGTGCAAAGTGCAGCCAAGCAAGGCATGTGACAAATATCTTAAATGTAGCGTCTGCCTCCAGATCAACATATGTTGCAGTGCTGCACCATACTGTATTACAATGCAGTATAGACTTGACTAAATGAGCTACAGACTACACTACAGTGCCTGCAGATGGTGTGGACTGATGATGGCACCCCGCCAAAATTCAGACTGATCAAAATTAATTCCTGTCCCAGAATTGGGGCACAATCGCCTATAACGATTAACGTACGAACGGCATGGACATGGACAATCGCAACGTTCTCTCCTTTGATTTGATCGCTGAAACGTGCACGCTTCAATTGGTTGCTGTCAATTGACTCGTCGGCGGACTGTACCTGGCATTTCTCGTAAGCACGATCACATTGAAGTCTGTAAGCACGATCACATTGAAGTCTGTATGGAGTACAGTTGGGCAACTGAAGAAATTGGGAGCCCATAACGTGTGATATGGGCCTGTTTTGGAACGAGTGAATGAACTCAATTTGATTCATCCCTAGAATTGTTTTTTTTTTAATTATGAGTTCCAAATATGAGAGAAATCTAACTGAAATGTACACGTACCTACATTTCCAATTCTCTTATGGTCATTGACCGTCACGATTAAATTTCACCAGTAGATTTGTTCGCCAGGCTGATCGTCGGCCCAAATCTATTATGATTGAATCATTGAATGGAGATAGTACAGTACAAATTTCACCCGTATTTTTCTTAAGGAAGGACAAAAGCTTTGCCACCTCTATATTAATAGAGAAGGAGTAAAAAAAGTTATTTACAGGGCCCGAGAACATTGTGCCCATTGCAAACAAAAATGTCTACTCTCCCGCCGGTATAATCTCAGTTAGTTTTTCCGCTCCCGCTGTGATCTAAGTTCGCGCCTCCTCCTTGATCTTGGTGATGATGGTGGCGGGCGTGGAAGCTACTTGTCTGAAAATTCTAGCATTTCACTCACCCCATGGTTCCCAGGCAATCAGGATGATAATTGATTTTAGGGCTTTTCTTGAGCGATTCGCCGTGCGCCATATTTTGTACCACCAGACTTCGATCGTTTCACAATCCCCCCACTCTTGCAGCTGGAGATCTATCCCTGTCCTGCAAGTAGAAGTAGCGCCGACTCCGGCACGGCACAACATAGTGGACAGAGGCGTTGATTGGCCCACCCTCACTTTTGTAGTCTATCCGTCGTCCAAACTCTGTTTTGAATGATGATCTAGGAGAAGATTTTGCATTTAGGTGGAGCCCAACATTTCCAAATGGTCTAGTTGTAGATTGTTCTAGCCGCACCAACGAATTATAGTCTGTACGCCGAACTAGTAAAGTAGAATCCATTAGCCATCAGTTTCCAAATGTTGGAGTCCCTCTGATCGGAAAGCGGGCTGACCAGATGGATCAACGTCCAAAGATGGATGTATTGGCGCGGGTGGTCCGCTCCAGTGATGCGCAGCAGATCGATGTCCCTAATCCAATTGTTGTGGGCAAGGGCGTTGTGCCCCGTTCTCGATTTGCGTTTTGAGGCTAAGAAGATGGATTTCACCATTATATTCACTTGCATAAATTGTAAAACCAAATGATTCGAAAAGGACATAGTAGAATATTTGAAATGAGGGTACGTCTCCTTGTAAAAAAAAGAAAAGGAAATGAGGGTACATCCACACTCCTCAGCTCAACAACCTTGTTGTTCGTTACTGCAATCACTACTACGAAGCGGTTTTAACATGAGGCTACCTAACATCGATTTATAAATATGTTTTGGGCAACCACCTCTATCAAAAGGTACGTGAAAATTGTTAATTTTTACATGCAATTTCACAATTATATGTAAAAATTGATTTTTAGAAGCGGTTGTCCCGTGAAAATATGGTTATTTTAACATGTGATTTTAGACCACAAAACCTCTCGTCATTTATACAAACGGATTTTCATACTGCCCGCATGCAGAAACAAATCCTTGCTGGCTGAATTTTTTTTTAGTGAACGTTCTCCTTCGAATCATAATAAATTTGGCTAGCGTCCTCCCACCGGCCTGGCGAAAAACAGGGCTTTAAATGTTTAGAAAGGGTAATGCTTGAAATCGGGTTTCATTTCCATGAGAATTTCCTGAAAGTGAATGAGCTACTAGCCATAATCCATCATATGAGTTGAAACAAAGACACGCAGAAACTTCTTTGAGCACAACAGCTCTACTAGATCCCAGCAAAAACCAACGTGCAAGCCTTTTGCTGCCGTCCTGTCGTACCAAATTTAATTACCGTCAACATCAAAACGAGAGACAAGTATGTTCTTCTCCTCTGCAGATTATCAGAATTGTCTGACATCTTCGCCCCCCCCCCCCCCCCCCCTAAGATATGGCTGACATTAGCAGATGATACGCCCTGTTTAGTACATGCCAATCCTGCTGTTGGCTTGGTCCATTCATTTGCTTACGCTTAGCAGGCGATCGATCTCCCGTAATCACCTGATAATTAATTAAGTATTTCGAACCAATCCATCTTTTTTTACAAAAATGTTTGGAAGAAGGCAAGCTGGTCAAGCTATCTGAATTGACTGCAACACAGCAGTCGCGGTCCCATTCAGAAAATGACCTGAAATGCAGTCTTGATTGGCTTGGCACGTCTCTGAACTCTGAAGGCATATTGGTTCATCGTCTTTGCACGGAACAGAAGAGATTCAGAGGATGAAAAGGTTTTCCGTTGTGTGCAAAATCTCCACTCATATGGCTAGAGTACAGACATAACCAACCAAATGCGACATCCATGGATCAATTTAACCCTTGTGATATCAGACACTCTTGACTAAACAAATTGAAGCGATCCAAGCATGAGATTTACCCAAATTTATGGGTCGATCAGCTTGTTCACTCACACACAAATCACTAATTCCCTATAGTACTACTAAAAATATTTTTTAAAAAGAAATACTATTATTTACACATAGGCCCTCGTTTTTCAATCTAATCACATAGCCATCCTGACATTTGTTTCTTCCTCTGACACGGAATCGCGGAGTAAATTACCGCTCGATTTCAACGGCGTTCCCGCCACCCGCCACGTGTCCGAAGCCACCTTTCGCGGCCTCGAGGTCGTCCTCGTCGTCTCCGATGCTGAACCTGCCGCCGTCGCTGTCACCGTCGCCGCCGCCGCCGCCGCCCTTGACCAGCGGCAAGTACCTCGGCTCCTCCGGGTACAGCTTCGTCAGGTGGAGGTAGAACACGACGACGAACACCACGGTGGCGGTGAGGTACCAGCTGAACTGGAGGTTGACGAGCGACTTGGCGCGGTGGAGCGCCTCATCGGTGCGGCACCGGACGACGTCGTGGCCTTCCTCGAGGTTGAGGAAGCAGCCCTTGGGGATGAGCGCCGGGGTCCAGAGCATGACGCCCATGACGACGAACCAGACGCCCTGGAACACGAGGCTCGCCGACCGGACGAGGCTGACGGCGAAGCTCCTGGGGCAGGGGATCCCGAGCACCGTGGTGGCGAGCGTGACGGCGATCACCGTCTGCAGCAGCCAGTGGAACTGCCCCTCCACGCCCATGTGGTCCGCGGAGTGGAGGTGGAAGATGAGCAGCTGCTGCGCGAACGCCGCGGCGGCGACCAGCTGCGACACGGCGTCGCGCATGGGCGCCCTGGCCCTGTCCATGTGGATAGTCACCGCGGCGTAGACCAGCAGCGCGAGCGAGATGGACGCGTGCTCGAAGTTGTGGAGGTGGTTGGAGGGGATGGTCCCGTCGTCGTCGAACGGCTGGTGCCTCGCCGGCCCGATCACGAGCTCCATCAGGATGGAGATAGCCGCGCCGACGATCACCAGTATGAGCTCCAGGTGGCGCACCCCGCGCACCGGGAACCACACCGGCGCCGCGTACGAGCTCGGCCGCAGCGCGAACAGCCGGATGTGGTTGAACAGCTGCCACATGCCGATGAGGATGAAGCCGGCGCCCGGCGCGACATGGCCAACCATGGTACCCATGGCACCCTCCTCGAGATCGAGAGGAAGAAGAAGAAGAAGACGAGGAGGCTGGTGATCTCGGCGAGCTAGCGATCGATCACTCTCGTTCGTACGTGCTGAGGTGATGGGAATGAGGGGTTTTAAGAAGGTTTGGAGGGGGGGAGAGTCTAGAGGGTTCTGAGGTTTGGAAGGTTTGAAAAGTTTCCGTATTGTGTTGTACACAATGTAAATGATCGGACGAGGTTGGGTTGATTCATCAGCAGTGATGTGTGTGTACGTTGCTGCTGAAAGCTCAGTTTCGGGGTGTAGTTTGTTTCTCATTTTGTTTTGTTTACTTGATGTTTTCTCTCGCCGTTGAACATGGTTAGCTCGTACTAATTCGCTTGTTTTCTGAATGACTGAATTGGACATTTTCATGGTTGTTTCATGCGTCTACAAGTATACATCAGGATAATACCCTCTTAATAAGATTATTTTCGGTCCTATCGTTTTGTCTACAACTGATTCCGTAACCCTCATTCGCGATTAGATAATAATTTATGTGTATTTTTTATATTGTGTTCTTGGCGAAAAATAAAATAGATAGAATAAAAAAACCATCAAAATCAATTTTAAAATTAGGATATAAAATTTAAATACTGGCTGCGATAATTAAGCTGAAGAGCAAACGGTGTGGATGTCATTGTCGTCCGAATAATTAGATTGAAGTTTACACGGCTTCGTTTAGAAGGCAGTGATCTATAGAAGTTTCCTCGGAATCAGTTCCATTTTCTCCGGCTACACTCAGCGGTTTTGGTTTTGTCAAAGTGTTTATCTTTTCCTTAGAGAGAGAAAAAAAAAATGACGAGAGACCGTGGCATGCATGGCTTGTGTAGTGTAGGCAGTAGGAAAGGCATATTCGCCTCCCCACTTTAGTTCCCGTTACGACTTTGAACAACTTGAACTCCTGGAAGCCTCAGCTTACCCCCACCCCGGCCCGTCTTGCGGAGCACGGCTGCACGGATGATTTTGCCGGTGCCGCCTACATCCAACGCTAGCCAGGTGGTCGATCGAGCAGCGGTAGACGTACTCCGGCGAGAGAGAGCACGGACGATTCAATCAAACCGCGCGCTCCGCACCACACCACACTGCGCCCGCGCCCGTGGTTTTTCTCTCGATCGCTTAGCTTTCCTCCTCCCCTCCTGCGGTGTCGCAGCAACCGCGCACGCACGCACGCGCGCGCAGCCGGGCGGGCGGCGGCTACGAAAGCTGCTGAGTGAGATGGCACAACATATCATCGTGCACCATCATCATCGCGGTTCGCGGAGTTCACCGGATCACATCACGTTCCTTTGGTCCCGCGGCCCGCGCCGTGGCTTCTCAATTCTGACCTGTGACCTGTCTGGTCGTTCCGCGCCGCCAGGCCGGGACATTTCCGAATATATTCTGACCCGCAAACTGGCGGGTGTGCCTGTGGTCGGGGATTGACGGGTATATAACGGAAGTTGTACAGTGGATATATTGACATTTGACACATGTTTCTAGGAGGGGCCATCGATATCGGCGAAAATTTCACATTTTTTTTTGTCCTTTTTCAAAACTTATTTCAAATTAGTTTCTTACTAAAAACTATCTTATAAAATGGACCTGTGCTCAGTGCCACACCCGATGGCGCTAAGATTGAACACCTTAGCGCCGACCGCCGAGGCCTTGACAGTCGTCTCCAACCATCGGCACGCGTGGCAAGGTTCGATAATGACCGTACTGGCACTGACATGCTCGGCCTAAGCGCTAGGTGATTTGGCGCTAAGATCGTGGACTTAGGCTCTCGCGGAGAAGGTGTTTCAAGGTCAGCGCCAAATAAACTGGTGCTGAGGTGGCGAAGCTTAGCGCTGACCTTGTGGCCGCCACTGCCCAGCCCCTGCCAGAGCTTCCGGAACGTAATCTGCCAATTAATATACTATTTTAGAAAAAAAGAACAAGAATAATTTTGCCCATCTTATATGGAGCTAAGGATGGAGCTGATAAGATGAAACGCGAGTTAATTTTACTTCCTTGTTATGCAAGAATGCTAGTTAACTTGCAACGACAGGCAACTCAGCCGATCGGTCAGAAGTCAGCACGATGGAGGAATATATGTTAAGTGGCATCATCTCCCAGCTAATCAATCAGTTTAGATTACTTTGCTCTGACTAAACCGGAGGTACTAGAACTGACAATAAGAGGCTCACGCATAGCCACACCTCAGCGAGGTAATTTAGCGCATGCATGCATGCACCCTAGCTAGATTATTCACGGTTTTCTCAAGCCGCCGGGAAAGAATAAAAGAAGGGACTAAACCGGTCGTTAATTTGGTCGGGGAAACAGTGACAGGAAATCGACGAGACTGGGGCATATACAGCGATCGAAACTGGCCTGGCCTGTACAACTCGATCTAGAAAAGGCCAGGTGAAGTTGGTGACAGCGCACTTAAGAGCACCCGCAATGGTAAAGTAAGATGTTCTCTATAAAACATATACATCTCAGCAATAGACTAGATTAATAGTAAACCACATTAATAGTATGTCTACATGGGTATCTATAACTCTCTCATCCATTGCCTCGCTTTTCTCTATAGACTATCTACGGGTTAGTAGATAGCTTTACTCTCTCTCTTCATTTAATCTCTTTCAAGTAGTAAAATATGCTGACATGGATATCTTATAGAGAGCCTATAGATAACTATTGCGGGTGCCCTTAGCGACAGCGGCCGGTAGATAAAGCAAGCATCACTCGTCATCACTGGGTGTTAATTAATCTCAGAGCAAGTTCAATAGTATAGCCCACTACTAACTCCAATTCACCTATAGCCAATCTAATAGCTAATTCATACAATAGTTGCTTACTACACTATTAGTATATGATCCCACATGTCATAAACATACTGCGTCTTGGAATCTGTGCTGCTGTAGGCCGCTGCTTTTCTCTCGTATCTTTTATCTCATTAAACTATATTTATTGTTAGATAATAGTATGATATTGTACCTGCTGCTCCCAGAGGGCGGCTGCGTAGCTAGCTCGCTCCTGTGCGTCCAGGCTCTGCAAAAGCTGAGATACAAAAGACCACGGTTTCTTTTTTCCCCAACTGTTCGTTCTTTCCGTGGTCTATTCTCGAATCGACTTTTTTTTTTTTTTTTGCTTTTGCTTTGTTCTTGCTGATCGAGATAGAAACGTCGAGAAATGCCTCTTTATGGAGGCGTTTACACTGGTAAATGTTTGAAAAATTCCCAACAAGAACAGTATCCCTGTGATATCAACGTTGCAAGACTACCTTTTCAATAAGAGGCTATTCAGATTGATGTCATTTTCAACCATATCATTTTTTATCAAAGTTGCTAAAAAGTGTCTATATTTATTGTCAAACTTTGATAAATACATAAGAAATCCTGCCAAAATTTTGATAATATTATAAACTTACCAAAATAATATTACCAAAATTTTGGCATTGTCATAATTTGGTAAAAATTTTGGTAATATTACAACCTTACCAAAATTTTGGCATTGTTATAATTTGGTAAGATTTATTTTGGGTGCAATGTAAACCGCCCTAAGATAGACTATTGCATCTTAAAGCTATAATAGCAGAGCAGTCAGAACATCTTCCTATCATATACATGACACATACACTAGTATTAGGGCCTGTTTAATTCCTAAACAAAATTTTTCACGCTATCACATCGAATATTTGGATATATGAATGGATTATTAAATTTAGATAAAAAAACCAATTATATAGTTCGTCAGGAAATTGCGAGACGAATCTTTTAAGCCTAATTACGCCATAATTTAACAATGTGGTGCTACAATAAATATTTGCTAATGATGGATTAATTATGCTTAATAAATCCGTCTTGTAGTTTCCTGGCGGAATCTGTAATTTATTTTATTATTAGACTAAATTTAATACTTTAAATATATATCTGATATGATATGTAGGGGTATTTTTTTTTTGCCGATAGTAATAGTATACAAACAACTGAATGCACCTGAATAGACGCTTCACTTTCTCAAACCTAAAAGAGACATGTCGCACAAATCAAGTGATCGGCTAGCCAAATCAATTCATGTACCAATGTAAAATCGAGTCATGGAGACACGGATACACGGTACTGCTACAATATATCCAGAACAGGGGCTTCCAGAATCCAGAATTAAAACACGCACAGTAGTCTTCCGCCTTCCCGTGAACCCGCCGTGGAAATTTCCACTGCAATTCGGTGAATTCAGACGGATTTTCGCGGTCAGCCTGTAAACTTCGTCGTTGAAACGGCCGGGAATCAGCTTTGTGCTTAGCCAGAGCTGGTTGGCCTAGATGTGTCGCATCGCCTTATGCCCTTATGTATCATTCTCTGATCGTCACACGTGAGAGGCTGGGAGTCTTCATGAGTCGTGTCAATTCAGGATTGCGTCCGGGGTTTATTTTGTTCTAGAAATGTTGACGATTAGTAGGAGGGAGCTAGTACGCAGCGGCTAAGGTAGCTTGTGCGTCATGCATGGACTCATCATGTGTGTGTCTCGTTTAATTAATTTTTTGCTGATAGCTTAGCTTAATTGGCTCGCCTGGATACTAACTAAATTAATTAATTTAAATACTCAACGAGAACAATTCAATTTGACTCTGCATGCAGAGGGCACACAGGAGAAACCAGTGATCCGGTTATTTTCAGATTATCTATCGTACCGTTGTAATGGATTATTTGCTTCACACAATAAAAATATTTTTTCTCAATTTTTCTTATTATTATATTTGCTTAGACCATTTGTTTCGAGTTACTTTTAAGGTTTGTTTATATCATGTATATAATCTGAAAAAAAAAATCCGCTCAATAATCTGGTAATTATAGGCCTATTAAACATTTTTTGATTTTTTTACATGTATCCGGATTGAAATTTCAGTTCAACTAAGGACTTTTATTTACTACTCCCTCCATCTACTTTTGATAGTTATATTTCTAGATCTAAAAAATTTATTTTTGATAAGCATATTTCAATCCAACAACTTATCATCTTAATGACTTTCTTAGATTTAATGCACGTCTCTCCATTCTTTTATACAAGATTGGCTACATGGGCATTGAGAAATGTAAATATTAATTAATCGCTTGTTTACGAGAAATGACTAGTAGCATATTTAAATAGATGATAAGTAGAATCACTTATTCTTGGTATGTATGTCAAGATGAAATATGACTATCAAAAGTAGATGGAGGGAGTAATATTCAGTCAAAACTACTCCAAATCAACTGCTCCACTTGTAGTAACAGAGGCCCTCAAGTTGGAAAAAGTACGCCGAAGGTCCCTTAACTTGTCATCGGGATAAAAAACATCCTCGAACTACAATACCAGACATACGAGGTCCCTTGACTATACAAAACCGGTCACCCGAGGTCCTTCGGTGGTTTTGACCCGGTTTTGGTCTACGTGGCGGCTGAGTCAGCATGGGAGCCACATAGGCCCCACATGTCGGGTGTCCACCTCACCCTATCTCTTTCCCCTTTCTCTTTCTCTGTTCATCTCTCCCTCTAGCGGATGGGAGCGGCGGTGGCGGCAGGCTTGGCGAGCGCGCGGCGAACAGTACGTGGTGGTGGCAGAGGCTAGCGACGTGGAGGTGGCAGCCCCCTAGCGCTGCGGAGGTGGGCTGCACCGATGCGACGGCGGGAGCACGAGGCGACACGGCGGTAGGCTGTTGTGGATGAGCGACGATTGCACGGTGGCCTCCTGCACCCACGCGCCACCAACGTTGGGTGACCCGTCGTGGAGCACGACGTCGAACACGACGACGCCGTTGGAGTCCATGAGCCTCCGCACTGCGGCGCGACACTTGGTGGTGGTGATGTCCTCCGTCAGAGAGTGCGCGCCGCGGATGGGGACGAGGTCGACGCCGACGACGAAGGCCCCCACAGGCACGTGGTTGACGGCCACCTGGACCCATCCCCCGGGCGCCGCGCAGAGGTCGAGCACCGTGCGCGCCGTCGGCAGGAAGCGGAACCACGCGTCGAGCTGGAGCAGCTTGAAGGCCGCGCGACTCTGGTAGCTCTGCTTCTTGGCGAGGTGGTAGAACTTATCCTGTCGCTGCTTCCCCTTCGTCTTCCCCATTGTTGCCTCCTCCTCCTCTGCCGCCGCCGACGAGCCGCCTCAGCCCGCCGCCGCGTCGCCTTGTGCTCCCGCCGCTGCGCCCCGGCGACCTCCTCCCCACCTGCCCTGGCTTGCCCAAGAGGAGAGAAGTGAGAGAGAGAGAGAGAGAAATGGGAGAGAAGAGAGAGTGGCTGACCTGGACAGGCTGACAGGTGGGGCCCACGTGAGTCCCGCACTGACTCAGCAGTCACGTAGGACAAAACCGGGGTCGAAACCACCTAAGGACATCGGGTGATCGGTTTTGTATAGTTAAGGGGCCTCGCGTATATGGTTTTGCGGTTTGAGGACGTTTTTTATCCCAATGACAAGTTGAGGGACCTTCGGTGTACATTTTCCCCTCTCAAGTTCAAGTCAGTCAACACACTTCACGGCCTCCGGGGGGAAAACCAACCCGCTAACACCGAAGCCCATATGAAATCCATATGCGTGGACGCGCTGGATTTCAGCCCACCCAACCGCTAGCTGACGCCCGGGCCCGACGAGGCCGTGCCCTGGCCTGCTGCGTGCGTGCGTGCGTGGGTGCCGTGTTACACGGCCCGTGTAGCGTCGTCGCAGGGCACGCGTGCGCATGTGTGCCATGTAAAAAGCGCCCAGCTGCTGAACTGCAACTAACCAACGATACCGGCGGTGGAGTCAGCCATGGTTTGCATCCATCGACGGACGCAGCACGCGCGCACACCACGCGGTCCAACGCGTACGCACGCACGCCGCATGGTCCCGCGCCGTCTCCGTCCGTCCCGGCGGAATTAGCTGGCTAGCTCAGCTCAGTCACTCGCAGCAGCAGCCGCCCGGGCACGCACACTGCACTGCGCTGCACGGCCAGGCTCCGTGATCAGATCAAGCTAGCCACACAGCTGCCAGCTGCGTCCATCCATCCATCCATCCATCCATCCCCACGTCTGCTGCTAGATGGGCTTCTCTCCTGCTCTGCCTTCTGCTGCTGCTGCATCATGCCGGCCGAATGGCTCAGCTCAGCTCAGCGCAGCCAGCGCAGCATGCCAAGTATGCGGACGTAATAATATAGTCAGGGGCCGGATGCATGCATGCAACCAGGCAGGCTGCACAGCTGCAGGCAGAGATGAGCAGTCCCCCCCCCCCCCCCCCCCCCCCCGCGCTGAGCACGCTGACTCTTGCGCATGTCTTGGTCAGAGCTCAGACTTACTATGTATTCAGATTTCAGAAGCCGCGCACCACGCCATTGGCATGCATTCGTGCCCATCTTTGAATGATCGATGCATGCAGTCTATTTACGTATACTCGTACGTGGTCCTCGATCTAACTAGCGATATTATCTCCCTATACCTAGCTCCCCCCAGAGATAAAACAGTAACTTTAACACAAGAGACACCAGTGATCCTTAATCTGATCGATCATATAGCTAGGCTGCTAGGCCTGTGGCATGATGGATTTAATTACTGTGCATTATTACTACTAGGAACGAGATGGCACGGTTACCTTTATTCGTTCTTTGTTGTGTAACTCTGATTCTCTGATCATCATTTTTCGATTAGAAGTTTAGAACAACGGTAATAAATAATAAAATTACTGTAAATTTACTTGGATTATATTTTCAGACCAATTATTGTTAGAATTATTGATGGTTCTAAGTGCAAAATTAAAGTTCGACAAATTTGACTGAATAAAGCTAACAGCATCATATATTTAAATACAAAAGCAAGTAATTTAATTATTCATCCATCCCAAAATATAAGACACATACTAGTACTACGAATCTGAACATGCATATCATGTATCTAAGGTCATAGCACTAGTATGTGTTCAATACGGGGTTGCTAGCTACTCCCTCCGTCTCATAATAGGTGACGTTTTTGACTTTTTATTTGCAACGTTTGACCATTCGTTTTATTTGAAAAATTAGTGCAAATATAAAAAAAGATAAGTCATATGTAAAGTACTTTTGATAATAAAGCAAATGATAAACAAAATAAATAATAATTCTAGATTTTTTTTGAATAAGACGAATGATCAAACATTGACAAACAAAAACTCAAAAAGATAAGTAATATGGGACGGAGATAGTACTAGTATAATATTGTTGATCGAAACACTATTAAAATCGTCGTGTACACCGTACGACTGTAAACCGGACAAGCTAACAAAGCAGGCCCCATATTTGTCTGGTTACCTAGCGAGCAACATTGCAATCGATCGATCGCTTCGCTAGCTAGCTAGCTTTCAATCCCATCAATCAACCAAATACACCGCGAGTTAGAGTTACAGGTCACACGTCTTCCATTAACGCTAGCTATACAGCAAAAAACCGAATTAAGTCCACCTGGCTCACCACATCCTCCGCCATTCCTCCCTCGCCCGGGCGCTCGATCGATCGATCGATCGCCGTTGATCCGACGACGAGACGAGGACGTGCTCCTGCCCTGACCAACCGATGGATGGACGGACACGTCCGTACGCGCATCGATCCGTTGATTTGAATGGCGCGGTCGGGGCTGAACCATCGCGAGAGAGAAGCTTTTTTTGGATTTCTTGGGAGCGTAGCGTGGCTCTGCCCCCCTCCTAGCTGATTGGAGTTGCGTTTAGTCATTGTAGTAGTCTCTTCCATTTTTCTTGGTTGTGTTTTTTTTTTCTCTTTTCTTAGCATAGGCTAATCTGGTTGATTGCGTCATGCAACAAAATTTTTTAATTTTCTTCTAATATATTAACGTGCAATTATTTTGTATTTTCGCGAAAAAAAAATCGCTAGAGAGAGACCGGACAGAGGGGAAGCAAAAGCTCAACCGTACACATGATGAACTCGCATTCGTTCGATCCGATCGATCGATGGCAGCCACCAGCGCAATGAATGGCACAAAAAATGCAAACCTGGCCATTGCCATAAAAACGGGAGGACCAGGTTACAATTACGATCACATGCACGCTCGATCGTATATTCGTACGTGTATGTGCATATATATATCCCTCGAATCTACGACTTCAGTTAAATTAGCAGAGCCAAAATTCAATTCAAAGAGTGCCGGTACATCGATCATATTATTCGTCTATATATATATATATATATGCGTCCCGATGCCCCCACGCTTCCGATTGGCTGCTCAGAGATCCGATGAGAGGATACAGTGCGATCGAGGGAGATTAACACAATCTCAAAAGCTCGAGATTTTTCTTCGCCGGGACCAGGCATTTCACCAGTGAGATCTTAAGATCTCGAGTTCATCGATCGATCGTGCCGTGCGTGCATGAAGGGAGAGATAGATGGAGGAGGCAACCGGAGGCAGGGTCACAGGAGAGGGGTTCATATCCTCTACCATAATACTACTATTATATATACATGTTAGAATTAGAATGGTGGGATTGATCACATATAAGTAATGGTAATGGTAGTAACATTATAGCGGGATGTTGAACGATTAATTCCGAGCACAGGTGATATCAAGGTCGCCATCCGCGACCTGCATGGGGGCGAGCTGATCGAGCTCGTGTCGTGGACGGGTGCCATGGAGCCATCGCTTTGAAGGCAAGGAGGGGCCGTTCGTACATGCGTGCCGCGTGCGCGCTTGTACCACTCGACCGATCTCTGACCATCCGAGCTTGCCACAAATAGGCGAGCTGATTAATTGCTGATGATGATGAGGCAGGCGCCAACGTATATGCAGGTCGCGCTTACGTAGCCATCAGCTTTGCATATGCAGTAGCTAGGACGATAAGGTCCTTGCAGTTGTGGCTGTCTCAACTGCTAGGCTTTTTGGGCAACCGCTGCACGTGATCGAGCTTAGCTAGTAGATCTCAGATTGTCTTTCTTGGAACTACTACTTCTGGTATTCGTTGATGTATAGGAATTGCAATCATGGGTATGCAGAATTTGACTAGAACAATCAATTTTAGATGGCTAATTATCACAGTCGTGCCTCGCTGCATACTACACTTTTGGCCTATAAAACCCATGCCAAATTAAAGTCTAAGATGGAAATTTTCAGATGAAAATTAACTTTTCAATAAAAGGTTTTTTTTTCATAAACAAAGTGTGTGCCGAAGACACAGCTGTGCTAAATAGGATCCACGTTGAATTCAACTACCTAATATTTTTTTAAGACAAGAAAGACAAAACATTCTCCAACCACCTTGGATGAGCTAGCATAGGAGAAACTATTTTAAACTTTCAAGCAACCAGTCCCTCATTGTTTACATATCATTAAAATAGTTATAAAAAAAATCGATGAAATAGATTAATAGTGACCGATCACTTCACAAAAAAAAAAGTCAAATTTAACTTCTACAAGTTGCAATAGTTTAATTTGTTTATTTATTGCAACTTGCAGATGTGAAATTTTAAATTACATGTTTATCAAGTGATATATTACATATTAATCTATTTGTCTTTTTTAAAATATATATATAACTATTTAAATGACATGTAAAAAAAACGAGAGAACACCCTCTTGAATGTAAAATCCATCCCAGTTAGCACTGCTATGTTTGAAGGCTAATTTACCCAATTGCATGCCAAAATTTTAGCATGTGATATGTGCATACTACTGTGTTCACAAATTAGAATCGGCTTGGCGCCATTAAGCCAGTTTCAGCATTCAGTTGATTGGGGTTTGGAATATATATGGTCCCAGAAAAACACCAGGGCCCATTGCTACCCGAACTAATCTGAATATTGATAAACGAATCTAATAATTAACTAATGGGAACGAAACTAAGATGAGGGCAGGTAGAGCTAGACAAATGCAGCGGCTAGTATATGCATGCTTTTGTCCCCAACCACTGGATCATTTCCTGAACATTTATGCGATCGAATTCTAGCTGTGGTAGCTAGCTCCCTCAGCTAGCGCCATGCTTTAGGCCTTGAATGCGCCATGCCGGTGTCGCTGACGGCCACAGGACGACGAACGGGACCGTGCATCTACAAAGGAGAATGGACAGTTATGGCGGCAGCAACGCTCATGTGAATCCTTAAACCTGATTCACCTACCTCAGTT